CAGACAACTAATGAAACATAACTATGGACCATGGAGTAGAAACTACTTCATTGATGCTATTTTTCGTAGGCACTGCAGTTACATAAGGAGTGGACCATTACTAGAAAATAGTTTTTCGGGAGAAAACAGCAAGATGTCTCTACTTTCCTATGATTCAGGGGAAAAAAATAGGTAAATGAAACAAAGTATAATTAGTGAATGTGAAAAGGGTATATAGTTTTTTGTACAGGTTTTTCCTATTTATCAAAATAGTTACTTGAAAGTACATGCATTCTGTACTTTCTGGGCCTTCCTTAACCTAATTTCTTGAGTGCCTTTCACTCGTAATTATCTGACATACACACTGCTTTTTTTAATGCTTTAGGGCTGTTAGGAACTGAATTAGGATTTAAATCCTGCCTATGCTTATAAATCTTCGTAATTCTAGGACTTCCTTAGAAATATTGAAAATAGGTATAGGGGCACCTGGGCGGCTCAGTTGTTAAGTGTCTGTGCCTTCGGCTCAGGTCGTGATCCTGGGGTCCTGGGATCGAGCCCCGCATTGGGCTCCCTGCTCCGCGGGAAGCCTGCTTCTCTCTCTCCCACTCCCCCTGCTTGTGTTCCCTGTCAAACAAATAAAATCTTTAAAAAGAAAAAAACAAACTTTTAAAGAAAACAGGTATAAATAGATGGATGTTAATAGTAAATAAAAATTTAATTACGAAGTTTTCTAGTGTTTGAGCTGCAATACTGTTACTTGCCTTTGTAAAATTGAAATTAAGTATGATGAAACTACCGAGGGAATATCAATTTTTCTAGATTTGCATCTCCAGAAGGATGAGCAAAAAACTAGCAATCTTGGCTTCCTCCACAGGGTTCAAAGGTGGAATTTGCTATATTAACCCTTTTGTATTTATCTTCCAACTTTTGAACTAACCACAGTTCCTTCCTCCTGTTCAAGTATAAAAAGTTAATTACTGGGGCGCCTGGATGGCTCAGTCAAGTGGCTGACTCGATTTCAGCTCAGGTCACAAAATCTCAGGCTCCCGGGATAGAGCCCAAAGGGATAGAGCCCCAAGTCAGGCTCTGCGCTCAGTGGGGAGTCTGTTTGGGGATTTTCTCTCTCCCACTTGTGCGCCCTCTCAATAAATAAATAAATCTTAAAAAAATCTAAACAAGCTATTGAGGACCTAGAAGATTACACAATCCCATCAACTCATCCTTTTAGCAAATAGAGCAAACATACGTAGATCCACCTTATTCAAGAAGTGGTATTGCTCAAAACAAACTTTAATGTGTAAATTGATAAGTAGGTACTAAACTATGTAAAAACTCTCTATATTCTCATTGTTTGATTTTGAATATTACAAGTAGTATTTTTCATTCCTGTCACACAAGCCAAGGGATTAATTACTTCAATAAAACAATGTTGGTACTGAAAAAGTATACTTATACATATCCATTCAGGAGCATACTGGTCAGCCGTTTAAAATAGCAGATCTCTAGGTTTTAAGTAAAAACAAGCTGCAGAACACCACTCATGGTAAGAACAACCTGTTGTAAGGAATAGATATTAGGACCAAAGACTAGGCAGAGACAGATAATATAAACAGCAGGTACCTTACAGGGGGCTCAAAAGAAAGATACTTTATGTTCCCAAGTACATTATTACTCCCGCAATTAAGTCAAAACTTAAGAACAAAACATTCAACTGCCATAGGACTGAAATTGGATAAAGTCAGAAAACGCTTTCTGAAAACAAGGTAAATAATAAAAATGTGAAGTTTCCTAAATGTAAACTGCCAAAGTTTGGAGTGCTCCAAGTCTTAAATTAAGGAAATTAGGTTAAGGACTTTGGAAAAGGTGATTAAGGCTTTAGTTTTCCTGAGAAATAATTATGGAAAATGTTCAAATGTTCAAATTATGGAAAATGTTCAAAGCTACAAGGTTAATAGGTAACAAAATTTAATGTGGAAATAAAGCAGGACAACACTAAGGTTTAGTATGCATAATTCTTCACAGTAGCAAATAGTATTTATTATGGTACTATTCTAAGTACCCTCCACTTATTAACCTTTATTATTACTATTATTATTTTTTAAAGATTTTATTTGAGAGAGAGAGAGAGAGAATGAGAGATAGCATGAAGAGGGAAGAGGGTCAGAGGGAGAAGCGGGCTCCCTGGGACTCGATCCCAGGACTCCAGGATCACGATCTGAGCCGAAGGCAGTCGCTTAACCAACTGAGTCAGCCAGGCGCCCATTACTATTATTTTTTTTTTTAAAGATTTTATTTATTTGACAGAGAGAGAGAGACAGACAGAGAGAGAGGGAACACAAGCAGGGGGAGTGGGAGAGGGAGAAGCAGGCTTCCTGCCGAGCAGGGAGCCCGATGCGGGGCTCGATCCCGGGACTCCAGGATCATGACCTGAGCCGAAGGCAGTCGCTTAACCAACTGAGCCACCCAGGCGCCCCCCTATTACTATTATTTTTAAATATTTATTTATTTGACAGAGAGAGAGAGACCACACAAGCAGGGAGAGTAGCAGGCAGAGGGAGAAGCAGACTCCCTGCTGAAGAGAGAACCTGATGTGGGGCTCGATCCTAGGACTCTGGGATCACAACCTGAGCCGAAGGCAGCTGCTTAACCGAGTCACCCAAGCACCCCTAACCCTTACTTTTGTTATGTTAGTCACCATACATCAATTTTTGATGTAGTGTTCCCTGATTTCATTGTTTGTGTATAACACCCAGTGTCTAACCCTTATTTTAAAAAAAATTTTTAGGTAATCTCTATACCCGATCTCTAGGGGCTCAAACCTACAACCTTGGGATCAAGAGTCACATGCTCCAAGCCAGCCAGACACCCTAGATATTAACCTATCTGCACAACGCATGGCTTATGCTTACCATTTCATGGATAACATTCAAGCACAACTGTTGAAGACTTGCTCAAGATAAACCATCCACTGTGTTGATCCTAAATGCAGGTCTCTGAGGAACTGAAAACAAGACCTTTTTCTCCTACTTAAGTCAGGAATGGCTTGCCAGTGGCAACTCTAGTTCAAAAAAACCATTTGCCAAATTTTTGGCACTAAGTGGGAATACAAATAAATTCAAAACGAGCCTTTCCCTCGGTAAGCATTTTATTGAGGAGATAAAGCATAAAGGGGGTTAACAAAGTGGAGAAAAAAAAAAGATACCAAGATGAAGGTAATTAACACAGGACTGGAACATAAATCACAGGAACTGGTAGGACTCACACTGGCCTTAAAGGCACTATGGCATGTCAATCAACATTATCAGGTAAAAGAAAGGGGAATCATGATGTTGCTCATTTGTTTTTGCCCTTTCAGTTTAATATTCTATTTGGCCACAGATGTACACATGGCATGGTGTAGATGCTCAGATCCTACTTGTAAGTTAGCAAGGAACTAAACATTTCGGTCAACTCTGTTCTCAAGTGGGCCATCGTTCTAGGGCTTTAGCATATTCAATGATGTAGAGGTCCACAGGTATGGACTAGGACTAGATTTTCACTAAGCTGGACTTTGCCATTACCAGAAAAGTTATGGGTGTAGGCATTTATCTTACAATTACCCACTTTGGGGGCAGCTAATAACGTAGACAAAATCTGCCTATGACTATGTGATGTTATACTAACACAAGAAAGCCCCGTTGAAGGATGACTTTACAAAGTCAAATTTCACACTGTGATATTCCCCCCTCCTTCCTTTTTAAAAGGCTGTGGTTTTAAAAGCTTTTGTTTTTTCCCTGAAAACAAGAGAACTTTGGTCAAAGCCAATTCTTAAACCAAATTCTGAAAGCCAGCTGGAGACGCGCCTCTTCACGTAAGAGTTATAATTTGTTTTTTCAAGTAGGCAAAATAATGAACTATGACACCACTGTCTTCTCTCAAATTCTGAAGTTTATACAGGAAAAAAACCCATTTCTTATTACCTAAATTTTAAAAAGTATGAAAGTAAAGAAAATAAGGTCATGGAAGAAGCATCAACCTTTTAGGGCACAATATTCCTAAGAGTAGGCTCTAAGATTTTATAACAGGAAGCCCAGAAATTTCTCAAAAACAAGTCTTTCTACTCATTATCAAGTACTCCCAGCTACTCTGTGATTTTGACACCTAAAATCTTTGACTCAGTTTTTTTCAAGCAGCCTCATTTTATCAGGTATGCCTTCTGGATTATTTGAACCTACAAACCAACTCTAGTAGATTATCATGCTTTCTAGTCACACCTGTGGCATGATGACACTGTTATCACCATGCCCTACTATATAGTACAACCCAGCCCGATACCTTACAGTGACAGCTCCTAGAAGAAAAGAAAGCGGAGTCAAATAACCTACATCTTAGTTTCAAACCAAGGTTAATGAGTGCTTTTAAATGAGTTATGGTACTTGAACAAAAAGATATAAGGTAATTCATTTCTCAAACTGCAATTTCAACTAATTAGGTCTACACATATATGGACTAACTGGTTACCCAGTATCTCCTACAAATTTGCAGTATAATTTGGCTTCCACAGCATATTATTACACTTCATAATAAAGTACAGAAAGCTTCGGGTTTACCCATGTAAATTCTTCTCAAGCCAACCATACGTTGTAAAGTTACAAAGATGATCTAACCAATTATTACATAACCTCATCAACTACAAGGACTGATTGTTGGGTAGAATTTTACTCCAATCAGCAACTCATCTTACCAAGCAACCTGTTAAGTGCCTGTTAAATGTAATGATCTTCCAGCAGAAAATGCAGTATTTGCTTTTCCGCTTTGAACAATACGCTAAATTTCCAATCAAAGAAAGGCTACTTCCATTTTTATGTAACATTAAAGACCATAGAACCATACTCTAACAAAACACCAATTACACTGACCACTCCCAGAAAGTGGAATTACTAGGCTAAACGGGATCCCAAGTGTGAAGAACTTCAAGAGTTTGATCAAATTTGTTTAAAAGTTTCATTATTTAAAATCTACTAACTTAGGCAAAAATCATGTAATTGACTACAAAACACCTTTTATTTTTAACTTAACTCAAAGGGGCAGATAGACTTTGGCAAATTTGATTAACAGAACAAAATGTTATCCAAATGGAATAATTTATTGCTGGTCTGAGGCTTGCCTTCTTTTACACATGTAGAATTTACATTGTTTCCACAAAAAGCAAATTATCAATATTTAAAGGAATTTAATAGTGACCTATTCAGTAAGGCAATCATCTTGGTAGCAAATTTTTATTGAAATCTTACATAACTCAAGCTTTATAAAAAGCCAACATAATTGAAAATTGGGATCTCCCTCTAAAGCCTTAGGTATTCAAAGCTTGAAACGGTTAATTTAAAAGCAAACAAAACAACAAAAATCCCTGCAGCAGATCCTGCTGAAATACTTAAAAAAAATCTAAATGAGCTTAATCTTTACAAAAGTTATTTTAGCTCAAAAGCTATAAAATCAAAGTTATCTTAATTCTACAAAGAAGGGAGAGGGTCTTCAACTTCATGCCATTCTTTAGAACCTCATTTTTTCATCAAATTTGGCCACAAATCAAATTTCTGTGTGCCCCCATTTTCAGGAGATTCCTCTTGCAGAAGAGGCCAAGTACAAACATGGAAGAGTAACTGCCTAAGCAAGTAGGAAAGTGTTCCATAATAGTGTGCAAAGAATATAGAGTTCTAGGTTAATCTCTGGAACTCGATCTGGACCGTGATCTGGACTTTGAACGAGATCTAGAGCGGGATCTTGAAGCTCTTTTTGGTGGAGGGGACACAGAACGTGCCTTTGAGGGTGGAGCAGGTAGGGGTGAATTTGAACGAGACTGGCTTCTTGATCTAGATTTTGACTTTATATCACCTTTCCCATTTTCTTTGGGGGAACGAGATCGAGAACGAGACCTGCTTCGAGATTTCTCATACTCCTTAGATCTGCTTCGAGAGCGCGAACGGGAGCCCCGATCAGACTTTGGCTTAGATTTGCTTTTTGATCTAGATTTCCTGCCTTTTGATCGAGAACGTGATCGACCTTTGCTCCGAGACCTGGATCTGGACAAGAAGAGTTGGATTTCTTTTTCAGTACCTCGCCAGAACATACAAGTAGAGAAACAGAAAAAATAAAAAAAAAGACCTAACAGCTTAATATTTACCGGGAGCGACTTTTTGAGATGCTTCGAGATCTACTGCGGCTGCTCCTGCGACTCCTACTTCGTGACCTTCTTCTAGACCGTGACCTATAACCAGAAACATAATAAAAATCTTAATCTCAATACATCTGAACACGAATTTTTTTCAAAAATACAAAAAATACACAAGAAAAATATAACTGTTTACTACCAATTAAGTCCACCTGAAAGCATCCTGGAAAAGAACCCAATGATGCACAATAAAAAAGAAACCAAGTACTGAACTAATTTCAATTAAGTCTCAATTCAAGTACTGCCATTTGAGTTTTCTTTGCTCTTGGCAAATATTGTTTCCTTTCCTTTCCCTATTTTTCAACAAATTACCTTGATCTGCTTCCAGAATAAGATCGCCTATGGCTCGTTCGTGGTTTATCCTCAATGAGCCTAATATTTCTGCCATTTATTTCTGTACCATCCAGTTTATCCAAAGCACGCTTCATGTCAGAATAGGAACGGAACTCAATCACGCCTTCATTTGTGCGTTCTTTGTGAGCATCCGCATAGGTTACTTCACCTGCTTGTCTCATGAAATCCTAAAAGAGCAACAAGACTAGTCAAACCTAGAAAAGTAAAGAAAAAGATCTACATACTGTACTTGATTCTCAGAAATAAAGTGAAACAAAGGCCTACCCTTTAAACATTAGCCATATCATTTTTATCTCAAATTATAGCACATACCTTTAAATCTTGCCAACTGCAACGACTAGAAAGGTTTTCTACAATAAGCCTGAATTCTGTACGAACAGGTGGTCCATATTTGTCTCTGCCAGAGGTTCTCCGACTGCTGTATCCACCTCCACCACCTTTATCACACGAAGAGCATAATTAGGTGCTTTGTAATGATAGGGGTGCATGTTTTTTTGAAAGTTAGTACAAACATATCAACTTTTATTTACTGGAGTAGGACTTTGCTATTATATTGCTAAACCTTCGATACAGTTGTGATTTGCCATAAATTAAATTAAGGGCAAGTCAAATAGACTAAATCCAACTAAACTCCTCCTACAATCTGTTAGAGAGTGACTGCTCCTTTATTCAATTTACCTCGCTAAGTTTTATTTTACAGAACATTGTAAAATATAAAACTTAACTGATTACATGCATTTCTACATTTTACAAAAATGTTTACTAGTTACACTAAGTACTTACATCACAGTGTGAGGTTTTTGGTGGTGGTTTGGCCACAAAACACGCAAGGTAACAGTCACCTAGTTCAGATTAACCAGTTTTGTCTAACCCTTGGAATCCTCACCATCACCCTGCGTCTAATGGCAAAAGGCTGCTGTCGTCATGGCTTCCGGTAAGGTCAGCCAAAGGGTCATAGGGCAAGGGTCACAGAATGTATGGAAAAGCCAAGGCCAATCAGGAAAGGCAGTCATCTTAGCCTCAGTGGACACAGCCTCAGCCCCATTGGTCACTTTCAAATTGAAACATCAAGGACTTGTTAAAAAGTTTGAATTCAACATGCAACAATTTCAACATCAAACATTTAACATAACCAAACCCCTCCCACCTCCTCCCAATAACATGCCCCAAACTAATTCGAATACAGCATAAAGCTTATTTAAGTCTACTTTGTGGTACCATACCACATTACTTCAAAATAGTATTTTCTTTGGCCCCCGCCAATTTTAGTAACTCTAAGACCTAAACTTAAAACCCCTCCCCTGACCCCATCCCCACTCCCCCCCACCCCAGCCTGCCCTCGCACTTCTACACTAACACATTCACATTTCTAGCTAAAGCACTGTCAGGTAAGCAAGGGGGATACAACAAATACAGCCATCCCTCACTTCCTCCGTGGGCAGAGCCCAAGACAGTGCTGACAGGGGCCCAAACCACCCCCCTCCCAACTTAGCAAAAACCAATAAATAATAATAATAAAAAACCCCAAACACCCCAACCCTGCTAGGCAAAACCCACAACCCAATCCCCGCGCTCCGGCGTCCCGCGGCTGCCCCGGGCAGGCGTGAAGGCAGCAAAGCCCGGGGACACTGGAATAAATGGACCCCTGCCACCGCGCCTGCCCGGGCTGGGAGGCCCCACCCCGCCCACCCTAAGCCTGCGCCCGCCCCCCAGGGTCCCAAGGACGCGGAGCGCGCGGGGGTGGGACTCACTGCGGCTTCCGTAGCTGTAGCCGTCGCGATCGCGGCGCGGGCCCCGTGCGTGCTCCACGATCACGCGCTCGCCGCAGAGCTCTTTGCCGTTCAGCTCGTAAACGGCGTCGTCGGCGTCGCGGGAGTCCTCGAACTCCACGAAGCCGTACCTGGGGGGCGGCGCGAAGGCGGGGGACCGGGAGGCGTCGTTAGGCCGGTGACGCGCACGGGCACGCTCCCGCGGCCCCGCGCGCGCCCCCGCGCCCCCGCGCCGCCGCCATCTTGGAGGGCCTGCCACGCGGCGCCGCGGCCTTGGCCCTCTTCCGTCCGGCGGGCCCCGCCGCCCAGACCCGGGGCGTTGCAGGCGGACGCGGGCGACCAGGCCCGACTCACCCATTTTTGAGGTCTATTTCGAGGAGGCGGCCATAGCCACTGAAAAAGCGCTGGATGTCCTTCTCCCGGACGTTGTAACTAAGGCGTCCTATGTAGACGCGTGGCATGTCCGTGGCGGGCAGGGGCCCCGAAGGCTGGCTATCGAACGGCGGACCGCAAGGCAAAAGCCGCGGTGCGGGTGCGGGGACGGCGAGAGCCCGAACACGCGCCTCACACCGCAACGGCGGCCGAGTCCAGCCACACAATGGTGCGCGCGCGCCCGGGCTACGCTATAAGGGCTGGCGAGCTGGGGGCGGGGCCGGCGCGTGACGTCAGCGCGCAGCACGTACCCTGATCCCTGGCTCGGGGTGACTTGCAGGTCCACCGTCCGCGAGGTTTCGGGGAGGTGAGGTTCTGCTCGCTCATACTGTTTTCAGCACCCATCTTTGTAAACGCGGTGTCCCGCCGTCGAGCCACACTCTTGTGGCTCTTCTAATTTGTACTTTCTAAAAACTCCCTCTCGGTGATCTCTCCCGGTACAGGCGCTCGGGAGGCAGGCCAAGAGGATTCCCGCTTTTCATTGGTTCTCGGGGTTGTCATAATAGACCTGCGTGGTCTCTGATTGGCTCCTGAAAGCGAGGCTGCTCGTTTCCTCCACTGATGGGTTTACGCTCAGCTTGGCGGGGAACTGGCGCTCCGACACAGATGATTAGCTCATTTCACCGCATCCCGGGCTTGAGCTCGGGGTCGCGGTGACCCGGCCGGGATCGCGTTGCGAGCGCACACTCCTACTGTTCTCTATTCCTTGTGGTCTCACTCACAGCCATCAGCAGCTTTGACCGCCTCGCGGCACGTCCCCCTCTCCCTCCGTGGGTCTTTCTGGAAGCACTGGCAGCCAGAGTCGCCTGTAGATCGCAGTGTACGTGGTAGTTACACGCTCGCTGTGGGTGCTCACAAAGGGAGCCTCTGGCCCAAGAAAGTCGAGCAAGACCTGACAGCCCACCTGCAGAGGTGCGCTCTCTCCGGTGTCCCAGCGCCATCTCTTCCCCCAGCAGGTTGGAAGGCACCTTTTCTATGAGGCAGAAATACACATTTTTTTTAGTGTATCACTAGAGATACCTTTTAAAGTTGGAGAACTACATGAAAACCCCGAAGAAGTAAGTTTAAGTGGAGAGCAGAAGGCCCTGGTGTACTCTGAAACTTGACTACAGGAAAGGAGATTGGGAATGAGGGAGCAGAGAGGTGGGGAAAGACCGCGAGAGCACTGGGTCAGAGAAGCCAAGAGAGGAAACAGTATCAGTGAGATATCCCTGGCTGTTCAGGTATTTCCGAATATTCCAGCTCTTTTTGAGTGGTCCAACCTCAGTATTCTTCAGCTGGTTCAAAGAGGGCGATTTTGCCCTCCAGGGGACTTTTGGCAAAGTCTAGAGACAAGCTGGTTGTCAGGATAGGAGGAGAAGTGTTAATACTGGCATCTAGTGGTAAAGGCTGTAGGGTCTGTGCCTAAAGTTAGATAAATACAATACAAGGTAGATCTTTAAAAATTCTTGGCATATACGAATTAGGGAAAAGAACTCAACGGTGAGACATTTTTACACATCAAATTGTCAATATTTAAAAAATTGTTAAAATTCATTATGGGCAAGAGGTGAATCAAGAAATGCACTGGTACAGTGTTGGTTGGACTGAACATTCCTTTTGGGAAGGTAATGGGGTAGTACTTATTAAAGAATGTGTACGGGGAATGGGGTGTTGCCTCCTCTCTTTGCAGTTCATGTGCCCAAAGAGAAAGATGCAGCTGACGCCATCCTCTGCTTCCTCTCACCTCTTTCCCCAGAGCCCAGTGGTTACCCCCCTCTATTTTTTTTTTAAAGTAATCTCTATATCCAGTGTGGGGCTCAAACTCACCACCCTGAGGTCAAGGGTCACACACTCCACTAACTGAGCCAGCCAGGTGCCCCACAATGGCTACTCTTAACAAAAAACCCCTAAGGCACTAGCTACAGAAGAGGACACGGTCTCAAATATCATGACTAAAGGGAGTGTTGGGTCATCAGCATTCTGTGGAGTCTTGATGATCTAACTCACCTCTGTTGATATTTTGGAAGAACAACGGAGAAATCATAGATGTACAGCACAGGAGTTCATTTCTTCAGATACCTACAATTGAGGCAAATAAAGATCACTCTATTGCTGATTCTAAAATTGTGGAGAAAACTGCAGAAATCTGTCCTTGAGAGAGAATTAATAAGTTTGAATCCAGACTGGACAGTTTAGAGCACACATTGTGGTTTTCAATCCCAAATACCATGTGATTTGAAGTGGGTGTAAACTGGATTCTGGTAGGTTTTGCTGTATAATGTCTGAAAATGTTAGCATTTCGGAAGCTGTCATCCTGAGTGGATTTGGGGTGAACATGGCAACTCAAGTATGTTTACCTGGAGTGGAGCAAATGTAGCAGGGGTCACTGCAGAAATGGAATTCAGAAATAGAAATTGTCAGGGACATAGTTGGAAAGAGATGGGAAGCAGATGATTGAAAGAACCTCAGAAGGGATGAGATTAAAGGTACTTTCCAACTGCAGTATTGGGTTAAATGTTGCCAAGTGAATCCAAACCCTTTTTGAAAAAACATCTGTACAGGATTCATCTAGACAGGGTTTCTCAACCTAAGCACTACCGACATTTGGAGCCAGGTAATTCTCTGTTGTGAGGGGCTGTCCTGTGCACTGTAGGATGTTCAGCAGCATCCCTGGCTGGCATCTACCTGCTAGATGCCAGTAGCTCTTTGCCTTCTCCTGTTGTGATGACCAAAAATTTCTTGAGTGAGAGGGATTAGAAGTACAAACTTTTAGTCATGAAATAAGTCATGGAGATGAAAAGTATAGCACAGGGAACGGAGTCAGTAGTATTGTAATAATGTGACATGGTGACAGATGATGACCACACATAAGGTGGTGAGCACTGAGTAATGTACAGAGTTGTCAAATCATTATGTTGCACTCCTGAAACTAATATAACATTGTATGCCAGCTATACTTCAATAAAAAAAAGGGGTAAACACAAGTGTCTTGACATGTTGACAAATGTCTGCTGAGACACAGAATTGCCCCCTAAGGTATTGCTTGTGGCGGTGAGGAATGTGTGGCACTGAGAATGGGCTTCCTTGCGTTCTAAGTGTTCAAGGATTAACCAGAATTTTCAACAGAAGTGGCAGGATAACAAGGTTTTACCACTCAAGGCAATGGGATATACTGAACTGTTTATTTATTTATTAAAGATTTTATTTATTTATTTGACAGACACAGTGAGAGAGGGAACACAAGCAGGGGGAGTGGGGAGAGAGAGAAGCAGGCCTCCCGCGGAGCAGGGATCCCGATGCGGGGCTTGATCCCAGGACCCCGGGATCATGACCTGAGCCGAAGGCAGACGCTTAACGACTGAGCCACCCAGGTGCCCCATACTGAACTATTTAAATATCTGGTATTATCTGAGCAATATGACAAGGAAATGTAATGATCCAAGTACGATTAACTGCGAATGTGCAGTTTTTTTTTCTTTCTGAGTACATGAATTTGGGCCCACAGCATCCAAGCACATGCCCGGTAAAATGCATTAAGAACCTCTAAACAAAATCTATTATTGTCAAATGGAAAAAAAATGTACACAGTGGGCCAGAGATAGAAACCTGTGAGTTAGTCACAAATTGGATGGAAACCCCAAAAGAGTACATTTAAATGGAGAGCAGAAGAAAATTCAGAGCTACACTCTGGGGAACTGTACTAATTCCTACATATAATTCGTATGGCTGCTGTAACAAATTACCACCAACTCAGTGGTTTAAAGCAACACAAATTTATTAGCTTACAGTTCAGGAGGTCAGGAGTCCAGAATGGTTCACTGGGTTAAAACTGTTGTCAGCAGGGCTGCATTCCTTCTGGAGGCTCCAGGAGGGGGGAATCTGTTCCCTTGCATTTTCCAGCTTCTAGAGCCATCTGCGTTCTTTGGCTTGTGGCCCATTCTTCCATCTCTGAAGCCATGAGTTTTGGTTGAGACCTTCTTGCATCCAGTTACTCTGACCCTGACCCCTGCTTCCATGGTCAAATCTCCTGATGCTGAATTTCCTGCCTTCCTCTTATGAGACCCCACCCCCCTGCCCCCCATGATTACATTGGGCCCACCTGGATAATCCAGGATACACTCTCCATCTCAACATCCTTGACCTAATTACTTTTTTTTTTTTAAAGATTTTATTTATCCATTTGTCAGAGCGGGGAGAGAGAGAGTGAGCGCACACAAGCAGGGGGAGCGGCAGGCAGAGGGAGAATCAGGCTCCCCGCGGAGCAAGGAGCCTGAGGGACCCAATCCCAGGACCCTGGGATCGCGACCTGAGCCGAAGGCAGACACTTAACCGACGGAACCACTCACTTCTGCAGAGTCCCTTTTGCCGTGTAAGGTAACATTTTATAATCCGGGGAGGAGGACGTGGACATCTTTGGTGGGGGGCCTTATTTTGCCTCTCAGGGCAACTCTGAAACTTCAGTACAGGACAAGAGACTTGGAAGAAAGGTAGGGAAAGAAACCAGAGTACAGTGTCACAGAAGCCAAGAGAGCAAAGGGATTCAAGGAGGCAGTGGCTTGAAAGTTCACGAGGCTTTGACCCAGCCACCTTACTCCTAGAAATCTTCTTGATGAGAGGATTAATTTGTAAAACCTTAGGCCCTAAGATTATATTCTAGCAGTGGAATATTCTGTAACCACTAAAAAAAAAAAAAAAAAAATAAATGTTATATTTTTTTTTTTTTTTTTTTTTTTAACATTTTTTAATTTATTTGACAGAAAGCCAGAGAGGGAACACAAGCAGGGGGAGTGGGAGAGGGAGAAGCAGGCTTCCCGCCGAGCAGGGAGCCCGACGTGGGGCTCGATCCCAGGACCCTGGGATCATGACCTGAGCCAAAGGCAAATGCTTAACGACTGAGCCACCCAGGCGCCCCTAGATTTATTCATTTAACAAATATTTTTTTTTCAAAGATTTTATTTATTTATTTGACAGAGGGATAGAGAGAGAGCACAAATAGGCAGAGTGGCAGGGAGAGGGAGAAGCAGGCTCTCCGCCGAGCAGGGAGCTGGACATGGGACTTGATCCCAGGACCCCAGGATCAGGGTTCATGACCTGAGCCAAAGGCAAATGCTTAACGACTGAGCCACCCAGGCGCCCCCATTTAACAAATATTTATTGTGTGCCTACTATGTACCAGCCACTGCTCTTGGCATTGGGAGTATAAC